CGCCGGCAGTAAGTCTCCTGTGAGCCTCAACAGAGTGAGTAGGAGCTTTTACAGAATAATTACAATAATACAGAAAGACATTCAGAAAAAATCAAAGTTTTAGCCTGATAAAAGAATCCGGGAGTTACCAGGAGGTATTTCTTAAATCCTCCCCTTTCCTCCCCTATTCGAGGCTAATTACAACCTTTGAGCTCCTGTTGAATAAGGCCCTAGCACACGGCTAGAGAAGATAACTTAAATGGTTCTTACAAGACAGAATTATAAAGAACTGGGGATCCCTCTAGCTCAAGCACAAGCTGTTGAACCCCCTGCCCCAAAGAAAAAGCAGGCAAAAATTCCATATTATTTTAAACCAAAAGCAGAGGAAGTGAAAAGAAATAAAAACATAGAGAGCCTGCATCCGCACGAATGGTCTGTCGACCGTATCTCGTTCAGAAGGGGCATGGAAGCAGAGGGAGGAGGAGGAAAAGGAGTTGACCTGGCAACCGAGTTGGCACAGGCAACTACAGAAAGTACAGCCCTTGAGGCCCGACCAGAACAGGAGCCTCAGCTGGGAGACCCAGAAACCAAGTCAAAAGAATCCACCCATCAACCTATGCTTAGAGGAAAGGGGGTCCCCTGCCCCGACAGAGGTGGAGGAGTGGCTAAACGACACAAGAGCTCGACATCCAGACCTGGGCAGCTATAATTACATAATGACAGGGCTGTACAAAGATCTGTTGGAAGAACATCAAACTCAGCTAATTAAAGAACTGGGGCCTATTAAAAACTTTCTTTCAGAATGTTTGGGTTTGCTCACCTCCCTGATTGAACTAATCAGGAGGAAAGAGGATTGCCACTTTCACAAAGAAGCCATCAACAAGCCAAATGGAAATAAAACCCAGTCCAACACCAAAGAAAGGAAAACAAGCAGAGCCAAACTAGCCCAAGGAAAAGTACTGGCCACTAGGAAACCTTCCTTAAAGGGAAAGAGCCCAATGCATAAGAAGAAGCCGAAGAATGTGAAAATGGGTCGAAAGGCTAAGCTGCCCTCTCGGACTGGGAAAGTGAATTTCTCAAAGTTATTCAAGATTCTGGAGAACTCAAGCACAAAGAACTCCAACAAAACAACGCCAAATAAGAGCCAAAGCCCAAACATTTTAAATATACATCAGGTGGCTAGCCCTCCAAGGCTAGCAAAACAATCGCTGCCCTCTAGTGGAAAATTAAAGGAAACTCCAGATCCAAAGCAAGAAACTCCCCAGAAGGGAGTACAAAAGAGCCAGAACTTAATTTTAATTAAACATAAATTAGTCCTCCTCCCTCTCTTCAAGCATGGAGGCCTTTCCACGCTTGCACAACAGAGAATTTATTTACTTAAGAAAATTGACTTAGTCATCAGAGGCCTTATACCAGCAGGAAATATTGTCAGCGTTAAATTTCTTCCTTTTGATATGGCCCAAAACAGAGTTGTGGTGACCTTTAAGGACTGGTCGGTAACTAAACAAATCATGGACAAGAGGGACAGGCTCCAGAGGGCTGGCCTGTTGGTGACCCGCCTTTTTGAAGAGTCCGGCGTTCCACCATCCCTCTTAGGAACACGTAAGCCGACTAGTCTGCGCACAGAATTGGAAATGGCTTCTGAAAACTGCAAACAAGGTCAACCGGAGGCA